ATGAGATTTTGGGAGTTTTCTACATCATCAGTGGGATTTCCCCCCTGAAAACCTAAATAAATAAATACACAATTAATTTGTAGTCAATAAATTACAAATTATGACATAATTATGTGTGGCAATTATTTCATGGTTCATGCTTTAAAGGGGAGATGTTCTTTGGGCAGTTTTAGGCAGAGAACCATGTGATCATGAACTCAGGAGATCAGAAAGCTTAGAAGCAATGATGACAACATATTACAGGTAATCACTCCACCTGGGAGTGCCACAGGAACGCTTCTTTCCCTGAATCCAGATTTTATGACATTATACTGTTTAAAAGCTCTATACGCACCTACACACAGAATACAGACACTGATGTTGTTCAGATATGACTGCTTAAGAATGTCCTGTGTATTTGTAATTGCATATTCATGAATGATTGCTTGCTGACAATAACAAGGGCTCTAGCAAAGGAATCAGTTGAAGTTGGTTGAGTTCAGGTGAAGGAATCTTTTCCTCGACTTTGGCTGACTTCCCTCGCACAAACACGGAGAGCGCCTTCTTGCCTTGTTTGTCGTGCAGTTGTTGGGTTTTGTGCCTAGATAAACCCGACATGAACGCAGACCGATGAAGCTCAGCAGCAGCTTCTTCCAGAATCTTGTTAAAAATCTCAGTTTTCTTGTAGCTTAACATAACTTTCATTAGCTTTCATGCTCCTGGTTGTTAAAACCAGGAGTAATCCACAGCACGGCGAGGAGGCTGGCAGCTCTCCTGTGGGGGCCCTCGCAGGTCCGCCTGGTGGGATGGGAGAGCCTGTAGCACCCAGAGGACGCCCGAGGGTCCTCTAATAGGATTACAGGTGAGTCCGATGGGTTTCCAAAGAGGGAATTAGGCTGTGTTACAGTCAGAGGCGGGAGCCGCAGGGCAGAGGGCGAAACGCCACCTCTATGTTCTCCTCCATGATGATGTCGAAGCGGCACATCAAAGGCCTGAAGGAGAAAGAAATGTATCTGTTAATACAACCTGTAGCCTTTGAAGTGGACTTATTCTGCTTTTCCTTCGTCTCCTGTTCCAGTGGAATATCAAACACGGCCAAAGTGTCAAATAATGTCAGCGTATTTACAGGTAATCCCAGTTTTTTTATGCGCTTGTGTCATAAAGAGAGGATGTCTCTTGATGTAATTCACTGAGAAAAGGTTGGAATAAAGTGGGCAAAAAGCAGCACACTGGATAAATGAAGTGAAGCATGTAGGTTATAATTAAATTATCATTAAGACTGATCAAAACAAAGCACCTAAAGCCTACGTCTCCTTAGAGGCAGTGTAAGTCTCCTTAGAGGCAGTGTAAGTCTCCTTAGAGGCGGCATACGTCTCCTTAGAGGCGTAAGTCTCCTTAGAGGCAGTGTAAGTCTCCTTAGAGGCGGCGTACGTCTCCTTAGAGGCGTAGGCTTTGGAGAACAACAGTTTAGTTTTGTTTCCTTTTAGGATGTCACAGGTCAGACTGAGAGAGAGAGACATCTCCACATAGATTTTGAGACAGTTTATCTTCTAAGATTGGTTCCTATTCAGAAACACTAAAACTAGATCCACCGACCTCTCAGGAAGCTCCAGTGGCGTGAAGCGGATTCGCAGCAGCCGGATTTTGTAGCGAGGGCCGATGACGTTGCCGGTGTTGATTCGCAGGGAGATCTTCTGGATGTGCTGCAGATCCTCATCGAACTGGGCCAGCAGCCGCGTGGAGGTGTACTGCTCAAACCGGAGCAGCTTACTGTGCGCAGAGACGAGCAGACCGTAAGGTTTAACTCATTCATTTAAAGTCTATATTTGTGTGTTTATGTTGGAAAACAAGAAACACAAAAAACTGAAAGATGACTTTTATCTCCTTTGCTAAGATTATTTATTTACATGTCTGTCTATCTATCTATCTATCTATGTCATTAAAGTTTACATTTACTCAGAATTTAAACTCAAAATCAACCATTTTTCCTGCTTCTCATAAATCCAGTCTGTGTGAAACGGCAGAAAGACTCACTGGTCTATTCGGGCCTCTGTGACGTTCCTGCCGCTGTGCAGCCGGATGTAGACGACCCCCCAGCGCAGGTACTGGTTCCATGTCACCATGTCCACTCTGTACATCAGCTCTGACACACACGGGACACACACAGCGTTAAAATCCAACACAACACTCAATCATCACTCCTTTTTGTTAAAAGGTCCTCAAATATTTTTTCTTAAAAAAGTCCCAGCACATATGGTAGTTGGGGTCCCACAGTGGGATCAGCATCCACAGAGTCCAAATCCTTCTTTAACTCTCTGATGTCCAAGTCCTAACCTCTAATCCTTAACTCTGTGCTCCCGTAAATATTATGATATAGAGTGATTTGTTTTGGCTTTTTGAAATTGTTCTTTCAAGTTCTGACAGTCCGAGTACAAAATCATAATAATCATTCTTGTTGACGCAAATTTAAACTCTTAATAAAATAATTACATTAGAATTTAATGTCAAATCCTGTTTTTATTAAAATCAAACCGTTTGGGACATTTACTGAACCAGCACATGCTACAGTGCTGTGCTTTTAATCTGGCTATAGGTGGTTGCTAGGCAACATGATACATCATGCGTAATGAAAGTTTTGTCAATATATTATTAAATATATTAAAATGATACAATGCTTTTCTAAGGTTACAGGTGCATTAACACTATGACTGAGCCAGTTTAGCCTGCTGATTGGTGGTTGCTAGGGAACACAATAACGTAATAATACCTGATGTAGATACGAACCTTCAGGGCCTAAGATCATTTTAAACCTTGTTTTGGGACAAAT